AGATGCAACTTGCTAACTGCATGACTTTGGGTAAATACAAATCTTTCTAAGACTCAGTTTTCTCATCTGCAAAATAAATCTGAAAATAACTTCCCAGGGGCACTGTGAGGTTAAATGAAACGAAATGGAAAGTGTCCCGTGACTAGTAACTCACTAAGCCAACGTCAGCAGAAGTCAACCTCCTCATTAACTTTGCCATTTTTGAGTGTCAGGATTGTGGCCTGAGAGGCAGCTGGAGGCCAGTCTACCTGAAAGGGCATGTTGGCCTCTCCTTTTGCTCACCAGGGACTATAAATGGCAACTCCAGCATTAGCGAGCTTGCCTGCAGGTTCTGCAATTTTCCTGGATGCCTTTGCCCACAGAAGATCCAGCCATCAACTGGCTGCCCACAGGCCATTAGGGGACACGGGCCAGAGAGGAAACATGCTTAGCCCTCCACCTTGCTTTTCGGAACCTTCTTGATTAACCTCTTTCTGTATGAAGAGAAGGGATGATGCTGGGAGCTGACCAAGCCTGGGTCCTGGTTGGGGAGGAGTCACGTACACAGCCCTTCTGTCCTTCTCCCCCTTCTGCCTCCACCCCAGCCACCCTCTGTGCTTGTTAAACACCCATCTCAATTTCCTTTCCCATTCATCTGTGATTGACTTTTCTGCAATCATAAAAATAGCAGCAATCACCAAAAAAAAAAAAAAAAATCAGAGACCGAGGTGAAATGTATATTATCTGGGTAGTGTTGAGATACGGAGTGGGGGCTCCAGAAGTAGATGACCTGGGTTCACATCTCGGTCACTTACCAGTTAAGTGACCTTGGGCAAGTTATGGAAACTCTCTGTGAGCTAGTTTTGTTACCTTAAAAGGGGAGTAAAAAAAAGTGCCTACCTCTTAGAGATGCTAGGAAGCCTAAATGAGTGAGTTCATGTGAAGAACTTTAGATCAGTGTCAGGCACTTAGTAGGAACTCAGCATGTAAAATGTTAGCTACTATTGTTATGGTTCTAAGTTCCCTGCTCCCACTTTGGTTGGCAAAGTTGTCTGAAAATTGTACCACTTAACAGAGACAAAGCTTCCTGGTATAATAGCTGTAGGGCGGACTCTGAGCTCTCTCACACTGCATGACCAGCCTATAGGGCTGGGATCCATCTGGTCTTTGCTGCTAAAACCAGTCTCTGGGCAAGGAGGGCCTGTGGCACAGGGAGGTCATGATTGCTTGTCAGCCTGAGGAGATGTGATACTATCATGATGGATGAGAGAGGAAAGCTTGATCGGAGCCTGGGAAGTGAAACTAAGATTTAAAAAGTACCCTTAAAGTCAAGAGGCAGGATCCATGTGAGTATAAATAAATACTAAATAAAGAAAACGGGGTTGCTTATTTTATTTAATGATTTGCCAGCAGATCCTGGGGATATTTCTGTGAGGGAGGCGGAGAAAGACTCAACCTTCGCTGCTAGCAGACATCGTCTGAAGATAGTGGGGTGTGGGGGTGGCCCTAAGAAGTAGACAGAAAGCACTTTGGTTTTCTTGCTTCTACAGCAGTTACTTTCAAAGTTTTTCTTCTGGGCACGAGTTTGCCTACAAGCAACATTCCACACAGAAGACCAATACATAAAACACCCAAGAGAGGCGAATGGGAGACAGGAGTCATGGTGTTCAACTCTTCCCCTCTCCCAAAACGACAAAAACAAAAACTTCTTTGCAACGTGACTGGCCAAGAGCTTCCTTATTAGTGGAGACTCTTGGGGCCCATCCTCCTCTGAAGGCTTGAGCAACAGGATGCCCCACGGTGCCCGATCTTGAAAAGCTATGAGGTGGTAGGACTGGGTGAAGGATTACCGATTTCCTATTAGGTCGTCTTTAGGTGTTTCAGGGAAACTCAATCCTCCTTCAGCAGGTCACCGCTGAGCTTTGTAAATGAGACTGAGAGTCATCACTAAAAGGGGAGCTGTTTTGTCTAAATTTCAGAATTCCTGAGTGTTAGGAAGGACCACCCCAGCAACAAGATTTTCAGTGACCTGAAAGATGCCTCAGAGATTATTTACTCCAATCCTCCTCACTCTTCTTATGATGAAACTGAGGCCCAGAAAGGAGACATAGCTTTGGGTGCTTGTTGCTAACCCAGACCTGATCAGGCCCAGAACTGATCTAGTGTCTCATTAATAGGAATAAATGATTCCTTCCGGATTGTGTTAGGCAAAGACACAGAAGTTGTGGAGATCGCTACTAAGGAGCTGGCAGGCAACAACACGGGCAAGGATCAGGTCCCATGGGTTCTCTTAGCCATGGATGAACAGATTGTGGCACAGGCTTACCCTCCCTCAAGAGAAACAGTGGGTCCCTTGACTTCCCTGCTGTCTCCCTTCCTTCCTCCTCCCTCTGCTTAAATATTGCCTTTCCTGCCACCTCATTGAATGGATCTCTCTCACCATCCCCCCTTAGCCTGCTTTATTTCCTTCCTCGTTCTCAGTGGCCACTACCTGACAACACTGTGTCCTGTCTGCTTCCTTCTAAACTGTGAGCTCCATGAGAGCAGGCACTTGTCTTGCTTGTTCACTGCAGGAATCCCACTTCTAGAAGTGTGCTTGGCACCAAGTCACTATCTGTTGATTAAGTTCAACGAACCATTGATTCATCTTACAATGATGACTCTCCTGCTCCTCTTGTGAAATGTATCCAGAGAGAGAGAGAGAGAGCTCCCAGCAGAGCAGAACTGGAAGCACTTGCAGGACCACGTACTCCAAGTACTTCGCTTGTCAGAGACTAACTGGGAGTTCCTAGTTCCTAGACAGTTCAACCTAGAGAACAGGAAAACCCCCAATAGTCACAGCTTAGACTTGACATTTTGGGGCCCTTCTGAAGATGAAAGTGGGCTGCTACCACTGTGGTCCCGAACTCAGTTATGTTCTGTGTTTGCAGGTTGAGAAAACCACATTGCTGGAACAGATTGTGCAGTTTGGTCCACTGTCTTCACTGAAGTTCTGGTGTACCAGGAACTCATCCTCCAAAGGTGGGGACTATGATGATGTGCATTCTTTGGCCCCAGCATCCAGCAAGCAGCTATCTTCAGCAGCTGGTCATTGTTGAAGGAGTGCATGGAGCTGAGAATTTTCCTTTGTTCCTGCTCTGGCTCCGAATTTTCACCTTCTGTTTTTAATCTCATTCTCTACCACCACCACTTACTATGTAAACAATCATCTTAAACGACTCCCTCTTCCCATTTCTCCCAGACTTGCTAGTAATTCACATTTAATGCCCATTTCCTCCATAAAATGTCTATTCCTACTTAGAAAGAATATCTTTTTTCTCTCTTTTTTTTAGCATTTATGTGGGGTTTTTTTTGTTGTTTTTGGTGAGGAAGATTGGCCCTGAGCTAACATGTGTTGCCAATCTTCCTCTTTTTGCTTGAGGAAGATTGTTGCTGTGCTAACATGTGTGCCAATCTTTCTCTATTTTATGTGGCACACTGCCACAGCACAGCTTGATGAATGGTGTGTAGGTCTGTACCCAGGATCCAAACTCGTGAACCCCAGGCCTCCAAAGTGGAGTGCATGAACTTAACCAATATGCCACAGGGCCAGCCCCAAGCATTTGGTCTTTTGAGGGCAGGAACTCTGAGTCATTCATCTCTTTATCCTCAATGCCTTGCACCATATTTGGAAGCAAATAATGATAATAATGATGAAGATAATAATAGCTATTATTATTTATTGAGCACTCACTTGATGTTGGATAGTCTTTGAAGCATCTTCCATGATTCATTTTATTTATGCCATGAGTTGGTGAATTACCATTCCCATTTTACAGATGATAAAATATTAATTTGCCAGTAGGACTCAGAACTCAAAAGTCATAACAGTCACCCAACTAAAGATGACCTGAATTAGAGGGGAGGGGAAAGGATGAGGCAGATTGACTCTTCTTCTGCTCTGTGTGTGTGTATGTGTGTCTGTGTGTGTGTATGCCTGTGTTTTCTCTCACTCTTCCTTGAACATCAAGAAAAAAGAATGCTATTTCCTGGAGCCTACAGGCATGCATGTGTGTGAAAATGAGCCATGCCCTAACAAGGCAACTTGACACCCATCAGGCCTTTGTGGACTGTTGAAGTGAGGGCTTTCTGTTAGGCTCCCACTGACCTTTTCTTGGAGGAATTCTTGGCTCAGCAGCTGCCCTCGTCCTTCAGACACAGGTGGCACATGGACTCTCGATGATCCCATCCGCCAGCAGCAGTTATGGAAACTGACTTGAGTTGCAAATTAATATGCAGTTATGATTATGGCCAGTGCTCCAGGGAAACCCAAGAGGGTCTAATTGAGTGGCACTTTCCCATGTACCCATCCCCAGACAAAGGGGACAAAACACTGCAGATGTGCTCTGGCCCCAGACAGCACAGGGGAGGCTCTCACAATCTCAGAGGACCAAGGGTGCTGACATCTGAGGTGTAGTGACAGGAATTCAACCTGACAAGTATTTGCTATCTGGGTTTGCTAAGCTTCAGGGGGATATCACACCATTAAGGAGCTCACAATGGAGAGGAGGAGATAGAAAACAAACAAACAAAAAGACTACTACAATTAAAAGGAAATGTTGTAAGTCTTCCCAAGTGGGATCTTTTGGAACCTAGTCAAAGGCTGGGGTTTCAGCCTATGTGGGAGAAAGTGGAGAAAGCCAGACCCAGCATTAGGGCCCCACAGTTTTAGCTTGAGCTGTGCAGCATAAAGGGCAGAGTCAACACCCAGGGACAAGATAATAGGGTGGCAGCTTCAGACTCAACCTAAACAAACAATATTATCAGGGATCTCCTACTGCCCACCACACACAATAGCGTCCAGGTGCATCAAAGATTTAAGTGAAAAGAGGGAAGAAAGTTAGCAGAATATTTGCGTGACCTTGGGAGTTAGGGGAAGCTTTTAAAATAAGACAGGAAATTTAGAAGCCTAAAAGAAAGAGATAAATATGTTTGAATATATAAGCATTTAAAATTTGTCATGTCAAGTTACATAAACAAAAGCCAAAACCCCAAACAAAATGAAACAAACGATAGTTGGGAAAAATATTTGCAGCGCATATGAAATAAGGTTATGGGGACCGAGGTTAATGTGTCCATATACAAAGTGGTTTCACAAATTGACAGTCAAGCAACTTAATTTAAAAAATGGGCACAGATTATGCACAGGCCATTCATGGAAGAGGACATCTAAATGGCCAACAAGCGTGTGAAAGATGCTCGACCTGACTAGGAGCCAGGGAAATGGAAATTAAGGCAACTGTGGGATACTACTTTTCACTGTAGAGATTGGCAAACACTGTAGACAGCAAAAAGCTCTATGTACACAGAGTGTGCAGGGCAACAGGCAGGCCCACACACTGCTGGGGGGAGTATAATTCAGCAATGGTCTTGCAAAGTTACCTGATAATATCTTCTAGAATTAATATTGCACATACCATTTGACCCTAGATTTGGAAATATATCCTACACTTGAAAATATTGGCACGTAAGGATTTATTTATAACAAAGTGTTTTTGCAGCAGACAACACAAAATGCCAAGAAAAGAAACCTGGAAACATGTTAATGTGGGAATAGTGAATAAATAGGAGTGCATTTATACCATGGAATATTGTGCAGTTATTATGTTATATGAGTTAGTTTTATATCTTTTTATAAATTTTGACCTGGGGCACTCTCACAAGGTACTACAAAGTGAGAAAAGCAAGTGCAAAGTATATATTATAATTTTGAGGGTAAAAACAAATAACAACAACATTATTTGTGCACATATGTATATTTTTATGGACAGGGAGAAAGGTGTTGAAAAGGGAGTGCAGCGGGGGATAAATATTAAATTTTTACTTATTCATTTTTAGTTAGAATGCACACAAATTGCTTTCATAATTTAAAACAAAGTGAAATAATGGGAATGCAAAAAGAGAACCACTGCAAATGAATGAATAAATTATAATAGTTATCAACAGACCAAGGGGATGGGCCAGCCATTGCAGGGAGAAAGCTGAAAGAGGATAGCTGACTACATGTCTGTCGGGAATCCTGTTCTGGGTAGGGGTTTATTTCAAGACATCAAATTCCCCTCTGGCTCTAAGAATTTTTGGTTAGATTAGAGGAAAACCAGGACAGTGTAGGGTCCCAGCAAAGCAATGAAGGGGAGACTTTTGAGGTGGGAGTGGCTCAAGTGGAGGTGATCCCGCAGTGGGGGCATGCGGGTGAGGCCACACGCTGCCATCTTTGATGAGCAGGAGGTGGCCGGTGGCCTTTAAGGGAGTAGCTACAGGCAGTCTGTAGCAGCAGAAACTGGATTGCAGGGAAGGTAGGAGCGAGGAGGGCAAGAGTGGAATCCACCATGTCAGCAAGCTCTGGGCTGAAAGGGAGGGGAGAGTTGGGAGCAAGGCAGAGGGATGGTTTAGGATTGGGCAGACCTGAGCATGTTCATGGAAAGCGTACCTATGTGAGCAGGTAATCTATTCAGGGGGTCTGCCAAGGGGCTGGGGGTGGGTTAGCATTCACAGCAAGAGGGTGCTTGGGTCTCCTTGGGGGCAGAGCCCTGGCTCTCTAAAATGGGGGAGCAGGAAGGAGTCAAAACAAAGGACTTTGTTTTGGATGGTTATAATCTTTGGAGACAGGCAGATCCTGGTTTGGAATCCGGGTTACTTGCTCTGTGGTCTTCCCCGTGTAAGCCTTAGTTACACTCATTAAACGGAAATAGTTTGTTCCTACCTCTCAGGCCTGTTGTGAGTATTAGAAAAAAAGTCCACATAGTGTCTGGCCCCCAGTTGGCCCTGAATAAATGACAACTGCTGTTACTGCTTAAGAGGCAGCACAGTGTGGAGGGCAGGAAGTGTCACTGGGAGTCAGACAGCCTGGGGTTGGAATCCAGACTCGGACACTTACTCGCTGGTGGCCGTGGAGATCCCTGGGACGCTGGTTTCCTCATCTGTGTTTAGGGCTGTGAATGTGAGGTTGTTGTGAGGTTCAGAGATAATGTGTGGCAAGTACGATACTTGGAACAAAGAAGGTGCTTTCAATATAGAAGCTGTTATTGTTTATTTTTCTCATTGTCCTTTTCATAGGAGGTGAGGTCACGGGATGACAGTCTTTGCAAACACGTTAATAAACAGTTTTCCAAGTGGCCTAGAGACTCTGCTCAGTTAACATGGTGTGTTCTAGCTGTTCTTGGCTCCCTGGAACTGGGAGTGGGGAAGGGAGACAGAGGTGGGAAGTGAGAGGTGAAAGGGAGGGTAAGGCTAAGGCTGGGTGCTCCCTTTTGATCACCCCCCCAACACTCTTTCTTAGTAACTAAACTTGTTTTTGTACATTTCTGTCTTGTAAAGATTTCTTTGCACATCTGTGGTACTGTATGGGACAAGCAGGAGACAGGGATCCAGGTGGACCGGTGATTTGATCACTTGCTTGCTGGATGATAATGAGCAAGAGGTTTTACGAGCTTCAGACTCCTATCTGTAAGATATCTAATAATTCCCATGTCAGGATTAAATAAGCGTGAGTTGGTACTGAGCTGGGCATAGAGTAGATGCTCAATAAATATAGTTTATTTCCCTTGGCTGTAAATGAGGGCCCTTATCTCATTCATCCCTGATTCTTCACAGCCTACCATGAGGCCTGGCCCAAAGAAGGTACTTACAGAATAATTCATAGGTACATGAATAAATGAACCAATGAACGCTTGTAAGGACGATGTCAAAATGGACACTCATTGCAGATATTGGTCCGCAGCACGTAATAGTGCTATGTGGTTCTCGTCTCAGGAAGTATGGTACCTAAGAGACTTTTCTTGCTGCCATCAGAGACAGTGATAAATGATAAACTATTTTATGGCCGGCAGTAATTAGACAAGAGGGTCGTTGCAGTCTCTCTCTCTTTCAACTCTCTGGGAACATTTATGGGGCTGGGAGGGCAGCCATTTCCTCCCGCCCTGCATCTGGGCTGGTTCCAGCATTCATGGGCCTCCTGGATCCGGTGCTGGGGGAAAAGGCCTGTGACTGCCTTCCTCAGAAGATCCAGGCCCACGGGAAGACTTGAGCAAGGTCCTGGGGTCCCGGACAAATAAGCAGGATTCATTAGCTGTGAGAGCTTTGCCAGTCCCATCCTCTTGCTTGTTCTCAGTTCTCTCTTCTACAGAATGGGAGTTTTACGCTAAATGAACTTTAAGGCTCTTTCCTCTTTTAAAATCCTGTGTGTCTATATCAATCTTTTTGAAGCAAGTGTTTAGCTTGATTTTAGGTTCAGGAATACCCATGAAAGAGTGTTTGGGCGGGTTTTCTGGAGGTTCTTTCTGGAGCCCTCGGATGCTCAGGTGGTGATTAAGACTGCACATGCCAGAGGTAATTCTAAAAGGAACCACAGCGGTCTTCTAGTCTAGAGCTTATACTCTGATATCCTCCTGGCCACATTTGGCCCATAGAAGGGTTTTCTTTGGCTGTCATCATTCTTAAATGTTTTAAAATCCCTTATTATCTTAACATACATCCTGATTGACTGATTCTTATTGCCGATCTGCTCCTCAAGGCATTTGAGTTTGTGACCCTTGAAAGTCGTCCTGGCAGGATGGACCATGGGCTTGACCCAATTTCCCTGTGTTTGCATAATGCAAAAAAGCCTTTATTTTAACAGTCCTACCCTCTCTAGGCTGAGAGGCATTCTCCTCTCCTGAAAATAGCCAGTGCAGATGCATCCCATTTCTGACAACACATTCTCTCCCCCAACAGATTGGACTGATCATTTAAAAGCTCCGAGTGAAAGCCCAAGCTTCTGATTGATCTGATAATATTGTCTTGTTCCCATCTTGAGCTACCTGTTCTTTAAATTGCATATAAAAATCCAGTCCATGCAATATTAACACACTAATGAATAATACACCACCAACTTGAAGTGTGCCAACCCACCTAAGGATTTTTTGTCTCCTGCATGTTTCATCAGAGACACTTGGTATATACTGAATCATCGTTAGGATGATAAAAATGATAATAACAATAAAATAAATACAGAGCAGTTTTACTATGGTGGAACAAACATGAAAGTGACTTCTCAATTATCAGTGAGAAATGGACGCTGTGGTCCAGGGATGGGCCTGTGCTGTTGATGTATTAGTGGTAAGGGCGGCTGCAACTGTGTGCGGGCGCACGTGTCACACAGCCTCATCTGTCTAGTGCTGTCGGAGAAGGTGCCATTGGACAACAATGGAATTCCTGACATCAGAACTTAAGTGGTTTGAGGGAAAAGACTAGGACTTTGGAGATGGCTAGCCCTGGATTCAAAAGCTTGGCCAGCCACTTAATTCCCCGTGAACTCTTTCAGTCTTGTATTTCCTATCTGGAAAATAGGATAATGACTACCCTTCAGGATTATGGTGAAGATTAAATCAGATCACGTACATCAAAATGCCTGGACCAGGGCCTGACACCTAAGGGTTGTTCAGCAAACAGTTTCCTCCCTCAATGTACAGTGGATGGTACCAGCATGGGCGCCATAAGTGTTAGCTCCCTTTCACTTACGCCTGAAGCTTGAACTGTAAGGCAGCTGGTTGAAAAATCCAGAGGCTGTTTTGTTTTATCTGTAGATATGAGAATACCACCCAGACTATTGGGGTTTGGGGATCTCTGATCTCCAAATAGGGGGTGTTACGGCACATCTGTATCTGAATATGGATATGGAAGCATGGAAGGTATGCCAAACACTGGACCAAGAAGAGACCTACAAGCATTCATAGAGCATTTATGTATTTACAAGAGTCTGCAAGCATTTATAGACTTTCTTTTAACTGTGAAGTGGATTTAAAACAATCCATTATTTTGGGAAAAGCATTAAATTGGATTTAACTTGTAAAGAGTTGTGGATTTTTTTCTTAAAATAAAAAACAAATGCATTCATTTATTCATTCATTCATCAGTCCTGTACTGAGCATTGACAGTGGGCTAGTCGCCACGCTGTAAATATTGGAGGTACAAAGACGTAATCCAAGGGGGATGACAGACTCATAAACTGTTGACTAAGCATAATTAAAAATGCAGAAATTTAGGACAAGATACTACTGGAAGGCCAGGTCGATTCTGACACCTGTGATCAAGGACTCCTTGAAGGAAGCGGTATTTAAGGTAAAGAAGGGAGGGAAGTGCATTTGGGCTCATGGCATAGTGTTACGATGGAGAAAAGAACAAGTTTCTCCAAAGATTTTGGAGAACGCTAAGTGCTTCAGGGTGGCGGCAGGGTGGAGTGTGTGACGTGCTCTGTGTGTGTGTGTATGAGGGTGCTGCCTGGGCGAGATTCTGATTCCAGTGCGCTGTCAGTCATCAACTGCTGAGTGTGCTCCAATGCACTTTGCAAGGCCCTTACCCATGTTTTCTCCTTTGGTCGTCATAACAACACTGCAGGCTCTGCACGGTCATCTCCACTTTAGCTTTGAAGAAACTGAGACTCCAAGAGGGAATGACTAGCCAGTACCCTACTTCGAATTCTACGTCAGCTTTCTGCTCTTTGAGCCTTTGAGCTCAAAGTGTTTGAGATCTACTGAATGCCAAGGCATTGCTTTAGAGGGAAGGCAGAAGAGACTAGAACAAGATCTGGCACCCAGAAACTAGTTGTGAAGCTAAGACTTAGATGTGAACAGAAGTTTTAAGATTTTAGTCAAGATACGATCAGCCCCAACCTGGAGGCAGGTGAGCTGCCAAGTTCACGGCCAGGGTGAAGTTTAACAGAGGAAGTGGTTTTTAAACTAGGTCTTGAAATATGGATGGGGCTTTGAGAAGCTGGGAAGAGGAAAGAGCACAGCAGTCAAGGGGAAGTACAGAGTGTGGAAAGCACACACCTAATTCTGGTTAGGGAACAAATAAAGAGGAAGCTGATGTGAGCCGGGAACAGGAGTAGAAGAGGCTAGAAGGGAGTTTTAAACCTGGCTCCAGGACACCAGGAATTTTGTGCCACTTCCTTTTCTGACTAAATGTGACACCGTAGCTAGGTAGGGCTTTTGACCTTCTTTATTTAATCCTTTTTTCCCCATCTGTCAAGAATGGTTCAAGGAACTGTCATGAGGATAAATCTGATACTATGAAAAAAGCAATCAGAAGTCACTGGTGGGAAGGCACTCTGTCAGTCTGGGGAATTATATAGTGAACAACAGCCACATGGCTCAGAGCCGTAGGTCAGCAGGGCAGGGGGAAGAGAGAATGAACTTGACTCGCACACACCTACCAGAGCAACTTCTCCATCAGGCAGCAGACATCAGGGCTTCCACCCAGCCCAGCCCTGAAACAGAGCTCCTTAAACTATCATCATTTAAGCCTTTAGCAGTCTGGGGAGAGTTTTAGACCATGCAATGTTAATAGACCACTTCTTGATCAAATCAAAAAGTGGATCTGCCACTATTTGTACTGTACATGCAGGCAATGCCCTTTCGCCTCCCTGGATCTCAGTTTCCCAACTGTAAAATGAGGAAGTAGGAGTGGATATTCCCTAAGGTTATCTCCAGATGTAATATTCAACAACAATGGGAAATGACAATTCATTCAGTATCACCTGCGCTTGGTCAACATTTCTCAAAATATTGTTCCATGGGATGTTAATACGTACAAGCAAAAGTCAAAATAAAACAAAAGACTAACAACGAAAACAGACAAAGAAAACAATGAGGAGGAAGGAATTCTATGGTCAAATTGGGTTGAACAAAATGAGACAGGGATCTTTACTGAAAGCCTTTAGCGAGTTGAAGTGCGCTGAGACTCTCCAGGAGGGTGAGATATTGAACTTTTCCAAACTTATTTGTCTCCATAATCATTTTCTCCCAGAGCTAGTGTTCAGCAGGTCATACATGGAGAAATGCTACACTAGGATTGGCCTGATGAATTCAAATCCTTGGCAGTTCTTTCTGAGCCTCAGGACCAAGGGTGATGCAGTAGAGAGAGCCCTGGATTAGGTGTTGGGGACCCAGGGATACCCATTTTTTAATTCCAGTTCTGTCTTCTTTCTTGAGGTGCGACCCTGGACAAGTCATTGCCTCTCCTTCCCTCTAATTAAAACGAATTGAATGAAATGAACTCTGAGGTCTCTTCTGGTTCTAATATTTTATGAAAACACAATTTTCTGTAGCTTGTTCATTCATTCTTTCATTCATTCACCAAACGTGTGGAGCATAGGGTGTGCTGTCATTGGAGACAAAGATTAAAAAAATAGATCCAATATGTGCCCTGGAGGGAGTCCCAGACTGGTAGGAGAGACAGACATGTGCACAGGCAGTAAGAGCCCAGTGCGAACAGTGCTTGAGTCCAAGCGTGGCTCAGAGAGGGCATCTCACCAGCCTGGTTAGAGACTTCATGGAGGCAATGCCACTTGAAGGATGAATAGGCATTAACCTGGTGATTAAAGGAGCTCTGCATAAAGGACCATCATGGCTAAAGGCATGAAGAGGAGAGTGAATGCAGCACATTTTGGGAACTGTATCAACAACAAAAAGCAACAATAGCAACAATAGCAACAGCAGGTATGATATTTTGAGCAAATATTGTCTCAGGCCAGAGCTGAATGCTTTGCATTCATTTAATCTCTAATTTCTATAACCCCTATAAAGTGTATCTTATTATCCTAATTTTACAGTTGAGGCAAATAACAGGCAATTCATTATGCTTTTTGGGGATTTCCCCCTAAATACAATTAACTTTCAGCTAATCCCAAAGGATCTATCCACATCGTCTATTACTCATGTCATTTTCAGTCCAAGATTGATTTTTTCCTTTCATTTAAGTGAGTTCTGGCTGCTTCTTACCAATTCCAGTGAGGACATGAAACACAAACTCCTTTAAATATTAGCTTAGGCAAAACATTGGGATGCACAAGGATCATGATGCATTTTCAAATAAAAAATGAATGATTTGCAGATTTTTTACACAACAACTCGCCCGTCCATTGGGGTGGATCATCGTGATTAGGGCTTAATAAATTCCGTTGTCCTCCCTGAAGGAAAGGCTTGGATGTTTTTCATATTAATGCATTCATTCATCAATCATTTATTGAAAACCTTTCCATACCAGTCATTAAATAAGATACTCTGGGAATTACCTGAAATCCCCCATGATTCAGTGCAGGTGGTACCTCTTCCAGGAAGTCTTTCTGGCTCCAACCTCCCACCTCTGAAAAAGCTGGGCCAGGAGACTTTTTCTGTGCTCTAAAACTGTCCTGGAATTTGCTAGATCATAACACTGCACAACTGTCTCTTTGCTTATTTGTAATTTTTGGTTTGGCATCTCGATTATAATGTCTACGAAGGCAAGGATGGTGCGTGCTATGCTAACCACTACATTCTCAATGCCTAGCACACTGCCTGGCTGCGCAATCAGTGATCAACAAATAGTTTTTGATTGAATGGATGAACCATCAGTTCTTTACCATTGAGACTATGACTAAGATTTTTAAAGTCCCAAGTGCTTACCACAGGGCTTGGACCATAGTAGGGCCCCTTTAGATATTTGTTGAATGAAATGAATGAATAAAAGATGGGAGGTATGCTCTATCTATCCCAAGGAGCTTTCACTCTATCAGGGAGATAGGTCACTTGTTGTCGACCAGCATCCATCCTTTCCTTTAGGCAAGAGAACATCATCCTTCCACACTCATGGGCCATGCTCTCTGAATGAGCTTCACCCCCAGCTACAGGGACAGAGAACTCATTCTAGGAATTTATTTAGGGGTGGGCACCTGAGTCAATTCTTGCCAGAAAGAAAATATAAATCCTAGGTCTTAGGGCTGAGGGTGATCGAGGGGCCCCTGGCTTCTGCTAGTACTGGAAGTAAGAATGTGAAGTTTGGAACTTCTGCAACCAACTGGCCATTATGAGGGAAGCAGGCAGAGAGTGGAACTAACCCAGAGGAAGAAGAGCAAAGAGATTGCCCTAACCCAAGCTACGGGCCAATATATTTCCCTTTATTGACAATGGTGTGAGTTGAAGTTATCAGTCATTTGTAACAGAAAGTTCCAACTGATAGAGGCATGGGCCTGTGACATTATAAAGGAAGAGGATTCTAGAGAAAATGCTGAGAGAATTCAGGAGAGTGCTCAGGAAACAGGTGCAAATGTTTAAATCAGGCTACCAATGCAGGTTATTTCTTCAATTGAGAGTTCAGGTGAGACTCCAGTAGAAATGTGTGAATTAGGCCTTGAGAGATAAACAGGATTTGTTCATCAATGTAGACGAAGAACTTTCAGAAGAGGACACAGCAGAAGCAAAGTTATGATGCCCAAAGCATAGGGAACAATTGAGAATAAATATTTGGCTGGATCCTGAGGTCCGTTATAGGTAGTGGCCAGAGAGAAGAAAGGATGATGGGCAGGGGCTGGCTCACAGAAGGCCTTGAATGCTAGGCACTGCAGAAGGGTTCCTCAGCAAATGTGAATTTCTCCTCCTGGGAGGTATGGCACAGAGGGGTGCTGTCCTGTTGAATGCCAGTTGGCTTGTATGCTGGGACCCAGAGACTCCCGTGAGTCCACCCCAGACATGTGGGATCAGAGGCAGGGCCTACCTGTTTTATGACGGATTCCTATGTCTATCTCTTTCCTGATGCCATAAGCAAATTTCTGGCTGTCTATTTGTAAGGAAAGGGAGGGAAGAAGAGAACAGAGAGGTACCCATGAAAAGGCCCTTTTGAAGCCACAGATCCCAAGATGAAAACTGCATCCCGAAGATATATTGGCCCACAACGGGAGTGAACTGAGTGAAAGGAGACAGGGAGGAAAGAACCAGAAAAATCATGCAATGAAGAGCCTCTTCGCTTGTCAGGGCTGGAAAGAAGAATGGGGCCTTGGGAAGAGACGTTTCCAAACTGGCAATCAGGGCCATCTCTGGAATTCCAGACCTCTGTGAGGCAGAGGACAGGTGTTCATCTCCCACATGCTCTGCTGCCTGGACCGAAGGTGGCCTTTCAGGCCGTTTCTACCTCAGTGAGAACTTAGGCAAAACAAGCCTTCTATGTAGGGCCAGCTTCACGGGCATGTGGTCTATCTACCTGCACAGGGCCCCACACTTACAAGAGCCCCAAGTTTGCTTTAATGATCTGCTGTGACTATCTTGAAATTATTAATACTTTTTGAACAAAAGGGCCTGCATTCTCATTTTGCACTGGGCCTTGTAAATTATATAGCCTATCCTGCTTCTGTACATCTGAGAATAGAGCAAAAAGTCAAAAGTCACTTAAATTCTAAGTCACTTAAATCCTTGCCTTTGGCCATCATGGATGGCAGGAACTCGCTTTACCTGGTAGGTCTAGCACCTGTGCAACCTCTCTTCTTCTCTGATTCTGCCTCCTTTAGAAAGTGCAGCCTCTACCTCCATGAGTCTGAATCCTCCTCGCCTCTCAGGAGTAGATAGAAAGGGCACTCCCCCTAGCACATTCTCCCTGATTTTTCCTGTTAATTGTATTTCTTCTTTTTCTGTCACCTCACCTTGAACTTTTGTCACTACTGCATTGTTTTATGGTTACTTTTGCCATGGAAGATGGAGCCAGCATAAGCTTTTAGAGAGAAAGACCTAGATCCAAATGTGTGACCTTGGACATCTCAAACCCTCGGAGCCTCAGGACCTCCATTAGTAAATGGGAGGAAGAATTGCTCATCATTCAGGGTTACTGAAGCCCATGAGTGAGATGTGACCAGGGGACCGAATCTCTGGTTTGCCCAAGACCGTCTTGGTCTGCGCCAGTTATCCAGATGTAATTATTCATACTGCCCTTTTTAACTCCAAAATGCCTTGGTTTGATCCAAAGCTACATAGTTCTCTGGTTTTACGTTTAAAACTGCCTAGCAAGGCATGTGACACATAGCACATGCTCAGGACATGTTTGCTGAATTGGAAGTTTAAAAAAAATTTTCCTCTCCCTTTGCTGTGTGTGAGCATTTTTGTTATCTCTATCAAACTTTACAGATTTATAATTAATGACAAACTATGCAGAAGCTCAAAAAAAAAAATGTGATGACAAAACCACCACTTTTATCCAGTCTCTGACTTTCCAAGGACTGTGATGAAGCTTGTATGCCATTTACTTAGCTCCAAGGGAGGAAGTGGAGGGCCCTGCTGATCTTTTGTTTTACCTCCATGCCAGTGTCCACAGGTGCTTGTCAGTCAGAGGCACAGCCGCGACAGCTGGACCGTGGACTGCCCTTTTTTGTTTCCCACATTTATACGTTTTTACATTATGTTGAATGAAGTGATGCTGATGCAGGCCATGACTCCTCTATCTCCTTTAGGGAGGAACTGGAATCTGGGAAGGGAGCTCCTCTTTGTGCAGCTCTGAGCTGCTTGGTGAGTATCTATGATGTGGCGGGCACCAAGGCCAATCTTTTATATCTGTGGCAGTGGGGTCAGGGTCCCCTTGCAAGTGTTTCTGGGGTAACTGGCTTCCTGTAATTTGCTTGGCTGTCACATTTCCCTCTTCTGCAGTCCAGGGCACAGCTGAACTGTGGGGCTGGTGGCACAACCTGCCCAACTCTCTGGCCAGACACGTCCAGGCCCTGTTATAGGAGATATTTATCAGGACACTTGGACTGCGGGGCATTTCAATCCTGATGTTCGGGCTACAACACTTCGCCCTTGCTGTTTTTTGTTTTGGTTTGTTTCACTTTTATTATTTTATTATTTTTTTAAAATAAAATTTGTATATATTTAAGGTAGACAATGTAATGATTTGATATACATAGTGAAATGATTACTACAGTCAAGCTAATTAACATATCAATCTTGTCACATAATTATTAATATTGTTAATTTTTTCTGTGGTGAGAGCACTTGAAATCTACTTTCTTAGGAAAGTAGAAATCTACTGCAAATCTACTTTCCAGGATTCAGTGCAGTATTATTAACTGTGGTCATTATGCTGTCCATTCGATCTCTAGACTTATTCATTGGCTAGAACTGCAACTGTGTACCATTTGACCAACATCCCCCCGTTTCCCCACCTCCCTGCCCCTGGTAACCACAGTTCAACTCTCTGCTTCTATATATTTGACTTTTTCAGAACTACATAGAAGTGAGATGGTGTAGTTTATTTTCTTTCTGTGTCTGGCTCATTTCACTTAGCGTAATGTCCCCCAGGTTCATCCATGTTGTTGCAAATGGTAGGATCTCTTTTTTATGGATAATGCTGTAATGAACATGGGAGCACAGATATCTCTTTGAAGGACTGATTTCATTTCATTCGAGTTTATATCCAGAAGAGGGATTGCTGGATCATCTGGTAGTTTTATTTTTAGTTTTTCGAGGAATCTTCCTACTGTTTTCCCTAGTGGCTGTACCAATATGCATCCCCACTGACAGCGCACAAGGGTTCCCTTTTCTCCACATCCTCACCAATACTTGGTATTTCTTGCTTTTTGGATGATAACCATTTTAACAGGTGTGATGTGAAATTTCATTGTGGTTTGATTTGCATTTTCCTGACGATTAGCGACGTTGAGTACCTTTTCGTGTACCTCTTGGCCACGTGTATGTCTTCTTTAGAAAAATGTCTGCTTAGGTCCTTTGCCATTTTTTAATCAGGTTGCTTGTTTTTTGCTATTGAGTTGTATGAATTCCTTGGGTACCAACCCCTTATCAGATATATGGTTTGCAAATGTTTTCTCCCAATCCATAGGTTGCCTTTTCATTTTGTTGATGTTTCCTTTGATGCACAGAAGCTTTTCAGTTTGATGTAGTCCCACTTATTTATTTTTGCTTTTCTTGCCTGAAGTTTTGGTGTCACATCCAAAAAATCATTGCCAAGGCCAGTGTCAAGGAGCCTTTTCCCTACGATTTTTCCTAGGAGTTTTATGGTTTTGGGTCTTGTGTTTAAGTCTTTCATCCATTTTGAGTTGATTTTTGTGTATGGTGTGAGATAAGGGTCTAATTTCATTCGTTTGCGTACGAGTGTCAGGTTTTCTCAACACCATTTGTTGAAGAGACTGTCTGTTCCCCGTTGTGTATTCTTGGCACGTGTAGTGTGTAGACAGGTTAGAATTATTGGATTATAAATGCAATAGGGCCGACATAGACATGAGTATGATCTTGAAATGTCTGACAGGTATTACACCTTACTCGTGAATTAACTAAAAAAATAAACAAATCTATTGGTTTTTTTATGTAGTTCATAATGAATATTACTGGTAAAAGGATAAACTTGAAATAAAACTGATGGCTATCAAAACTGTTTCATCCACAGGTTAAATTAGGTGCTGCTTCTTGGCACTGCCTTTAAACTTGATGCTTATCTCTACCTCGCCAGTGGTCACACTGTTCTCTAATATCTGAGTTTATGTGTTTCTCCTGCCGACAAAACTGGAAACTCACTGAGAGCAAAGACTCTCATTTCCATGTCTGTGTCAGGCGGCAGCCCAGTTCAGAACAGTCTTTGTCCAGAATCTAGGACTTGTCTCAGCTAGGGAAGCAGCTCATCTGTCAGAACCTTCACCTTCATTTTAGAATTTGCTTTGCGTTGGAGGAAACAATACAGAGCCTTGTAAGCCATTGCAAGGACCTTCGCTGGATTATATTGTGAGTGAGATGTGAGCCCTTGGAGGTCCTTGGGTAGAGGAGTGACTTGATCTGACTTATGCTTTAAAAGGATCACTCCGGCTGCTGGGTTGAGAATAGATCGTGGGGGATGGAGGCCCAGGAGACTGCCTGGGAGGCTGTCTCAGTCATCTAGGTGAGAAATTATGGAGGCCTGAACCAGGGCAGGAGTGGTGGAGTAGTGAGGAATGTTCAGAAATGTTCTGTACTTTGAACACCAGGCTAATGGGATTGGTTAATGAAGCAGATGCAGGGTGTGAGGTAAAGAAAGAGCAGTCAAGGATGACCCCAGTTTCTTTGTCTTGAGTAGCAGAAGGTTGAAGTTGCCATTTACTGAGTTGGGGAAGAGTAGGGGTGAGAGTAGACTGGGACTAATGTACCCTCTAGGGTGGGAGAGGACTGCTGTCACTGGGCTTGTAGCCAGGCTCTCCCAGCTCCACATTCCTGCCTTTGGGAAACTTCAGTCCTGCTGCGGCTCCTAAGGGCCCAGCTTCTGACCCCTGCCTCCTTCAGCATCCCTTTCCGTGCTGCTCTTTCCCTGGGATGTCCTCACGTCTGTCAGACGCAGCGGGAAGGAAAATCAGGTTCTACCCAATTAGCTCATCTTAAGTGGATTTCACTGTGCATTTAATTAAACCTGTTATCATCTTGAAGGGTATTTTGATACATGATACTTGATACAGAGTAATTAGACTACTGTGGGCATGCACATAAATATCTTTGGGCTGAGGTTTTAAGCTGGGCTCTGCTGCTGTGTATTCGTATGAACTACCCTGCCAATAATTTCAAAGCCAATAATGTTTACACACTTCGTAGTTTGCAGCCCTCTCTGTCCTTCTGGCTGGTGGATCAATTGCAAGGTCACTGGCTATGCTTTTCTATGGCTTAGGGGAAGGATTCCTGACCCTATCACTCTTGGCTCAAGTGACTGGATGGCTCCTCACTGAGTACAGAGTGAGGTCAAAACTCCTTGTGGATGCGTTTTGCCCATACACAATTTACTTCCCCACTATGTTTCCAGTATACTCTTAGTCTGCAAAACTTTATTGCATGTGACCCTATATCTCAGCCACCTGTAAGCCTTTGTTTCAGTGGCTTTTTCTCCTTTAGAATTCTTTTGTCTTTTATTCTGTGTCTGTCAGAATAGAATAGATTATGATGCAGTAGCAGACAACTCCTATTTCTCAGTCGCTGACTATAGAAAAGGTTTTTTATCCCCCTCACTCCTTCTATACAGCCATTGCAGGTCAACAGTGGCTCGACTCCATTGCCAGTTATCAGGGCAGAAGGAAAAAGGGAATGTGATGAATCACAGACTGGATCCCAGAGCTTCTACTCAGAAGTGGCACATTCACCTCCACTAACATTTCCTTGGCCAAATAAGTCACATGGCCACATCTGCCATCAAGGAGTTGGGGAAGTATAATCCTCCCCCAGGCGGGGAGAGTGAAGGGTTACAAACAACACAATCTGGAGTCGCACCGTGGATCTTCCTAAAATGACCCCTAATTTCTAGTTCCAAAGCAGTGACCACTCTGCCCTTTCCATTAGAGTTTCGTACATTGTTGCTTTCCTCCTTTATAGACGGTGAGTAGCTGGAGGGCAGGCAATGCTGTCACCTCTCACCTAGTAGAGTGCTTTGTCCCTTAGACACTCAATACGGGTGAACGCAATGCTGCATTTTCAACAAGCCGCACCCAGGAGGCAGCATGGTGAACATGGAAGCAGAGAAAGCTAGAGCTGCTTTCCTTAGAAAAACACACCGCTCTCTTCAGTGATGGTTTTATCGCTTTCGATCCTCAGGACAACTTGGGATGTGGGCACTATTTTTAACCCTGTTATACCTATGAGAGCGGGGAGGCCCAGGGAGACACAGGCATGTCACCATTACGGTGAACTAAATTATTGTAAGCTTAGTACTACCTTTGGATTTAAAATTATGTATAAAATGATTACTGTTTCATGGCCAAAGGGATGAGCCCAAGTCTTCCTTGTAACAGGAGAAGGCCTTTGCTAATACGCATGCCCTCTGACTTCCAGGGAGTGGGGAGCAGGTAATCACCCCATAACTCAGAAAGATTCAGACAGATTCAGGTATGTTTTTAAGGGAGCTTACTCAGACTACAGGAAGAAGGACAACAGGAAACAGGATGAGGGGCTGAGCCAAGCCAGGGACATTGGGGATGGAGGGGGAAGGACAAGTCAGAGATGATGTCAGAGGAGGCGGACTTAACTGTTGCAGTTTACTCACTTTGTGAATGCTTACATTGGATTATTTTGTTAGGGTGAGCCAAAGAGTAGAAATGGATCCTCTGGAGTGAGTGTGGAGAGGAGGAAGAAAACAGGAAGAGAAGGTAAGAATGGATGGAACCATAATATTTGTAGAGACACGTTAAAAAAGTAAGTTTTTAAAAGAAATAGTTATGTTAATTCATTATTTAGTGCTATTAATTGCCAGTACATGTGCTAAGTGTTGGAGATACAGAGATTGAAAAGAACTACTTCCTGCCCTTGAAAAAGCCTTTAACTTGGAAGAGATTACTCCCAATACGAGGCAGAATAATAACCAGCCCGTAGGAGGCACCAGCCAAATACTTTGGGAACCCAAGGGAGGAGGGGGGAAGGCAAGACGGGCGCAAAAGCCGCTGATCCCAGCAGTATTACTCTAGTCCAGGCGGCTTATTAACCAGATTGTCAATAATGTCATGGTAAATGTTTCTAATGTTTTTTTAAAAGCCTCCAAGCATTTTATTGCATTTGACCCTTCATCTAATAAAGCTGTCTGCCTACTCCAAGTGGTGTCAGCATGCCACTTAACATGAGCAGCCGAGTCCATTCCAAGGCCCCCGGGGGGGAAGGGGGCTCCTTCATGAAAAGCAGTCCCTCCTCCCCCCATGTCTGATCCAAATCACACTCCAGGGCAGTCTGAGCTATGCCCTGGGTGAGTTGTGGTCCTAGTTCCTTGCCAGACACCAGCAAGCTGTTCCTACCGGGAGACCAAATACCACTGGCCAGGAGTGTGGGCTCTTGAGCCAGCTAGCATGTCTAGGCTCACATCCTGGCTCCACCACTGAGTCTTTGCTCCACGGTGAGCATCAGTTTTCTCATCTTTGAAATAAGAAGTACGAGCACCTGCTTTGCTGACTGCCCGCGGTTACTGTGAATGCCTTAACAATTCTCTACTACCAGCTCTGCCACCACCAGCAACCCCTAACATTTACTGAAAGCTTAGTTAGTGCCTAGTGCTAGGCTGGGTGTTTTCTGTGCAGGATCTCACTTAACCCTCCCAGTGCCCTGGGGTCACCTGTGTCTTTACCTCCATTTATAGATGAGGTCACTGTAGCTTCGTTACCTCAAGTAAACTGCCCTTAATCACACGGCTATTAAGTAGCTGAGGCAGAACTTGAACTCAGATTAATCACGCTACGAGACAAACCCTTTAGGATTCTACTCTAACTCACAAAGGAAGAAGAGAAGTGGTGCCCAAATCAGGCTATAAGAATTACTTAGGAAAGATATAGCACAAAACACACACACACACACACTCTCCCAGGATCCATCCTGAAACTTCTGATTCACTGCATCCATGGTGGGGTCCGGCAAGATGCATGTTTTTCTTTTTAAACATGGCTCAGATAATTTTGACAAAGCTAGCTCTTAGAACAACTTTTGGGACCTCAGTATGACTCAAAGGATGTCTTGTCCAACTCTTCTCTGATACCTGAATCTAGTCTACATCCTGAGACTTTTCCGTCTCGTTAGAAGGTCATCCCTCCACCCACTGACCCTGTGTACCTTTGTGAGGGATGTTGGTGATACACACACATGCAAGAAGCCACAGTTTTCAACCGGGAAGTACTCACAGCCTAATTTGTTCCTACATCCACCAGAACTCTAACTCTTCAGCGCGCTAGTTCTGCTAAGTGTTTTGGAGGCCTAGTGGACAAGTCTCTCGTTGGCCTCCAGCCCTTCCTAGGTCTTCTCTTGTTTGGGTGCAATGCCCCTGAAGGAGAGGATGGAGGGAAGAGTGTTTTGTAGGCTGGGTTAGGGCTCACTGTCTCTCCTGACCTCCCCCTCCCTGGCCCTTAGCCTGGTGTGTACCTGTGGCTGGTCTGTCTACCTTCCTGGTTGCATCTCAGCAAGTCCCCAAAATAAACATCAGTGGTCACAGTGGGAACTATCCAGTCCCCACCCTTTATGGTTGTGGAAGGGGTTTGGAGGCTTGGAGATGATAAGGGGAAGGAAGCAGAGGCAAACCAAGGGTTCCCTTGGAGAGTCATGAGTGGGTTTTGGAAGGGCACATCAACCCTTTAAGAGGTATGCATATGCCTTATGTGCATTTCATATGTGTGGTTGGGGAGTCCATGACTGTCACTGGGTTTACAATGCTTTTGTGACTCTCAAAAGCTTGAGAACTACTGCTACCCGTTCTCTCAAAGAGGGTAAAACCCTGTCTCAGAGATGAACTTTCATTAGGGCTCACAGGTTCCCCCAATTTCTTACTGAAGAGTCTTATCTCATTCGATCTTTGCCACCACCCTGTGGAGTAGTTAGTAATCCCACTTAATGATTTGAAAAACTGAGGCTTTGAAAGGTAAAAGAACTTGACCCATATCCCACAGCTACCAAGTGGCAAAGGTAGGGCCAACACCTGGACCCAGCTGACTCCCAGCCCAGGGCTCAGGCCTTAAGCCACTCAGGCTTGGCCATGGCCACGGTGTCCTGCTGGCCAAAGACTGGGAGCACACTAATGTGGATGAAGCCATTCATTCCATTAGAGGAAATGAACAGTTTCTCATTCACTCTCAGGAAAAATCAGGAAGCAACCAGTTTAAATTAGTAGTGAGAAGTCAACACCACTTTTTGAGTACTTACTGTATGCCAAGAACTCACGTATATTATGCCATTGTATTTCCATAAGAACCCTGAAAATCCAGTCAAACTTTCTGTCCTGTAGATGACGAAGATGAATCCCAGAGAGGCTGGATTAAATTGCCCAAGCTTCTGCCACTGGAGGGCCAGGATCTGAACCCAGGTCCATGGAAGTCTTCACAGTTTTGTCTCTTTCTGTATCCACCACCCCTGCCATGACTTATGCGAGCTGCGTCAGAAGGAGCTGGCTATGGGCTAACGCAGAGAGTTGAGGGAAGGGAATGGAAATAGCAGGCCACTAAATCTCTCTGAACCTCAGTTTCCTCATCTGTGAAATGGGAGTAAAGCACATTTTGAAAGGTGATGGTGAAGATCAAATGAGAGCATGCATTTGAGTGTCGGTTGCGTGGTAAGGTCTCATTGCATTTAGCTATTATTATCTGATGGAGGGAAAAGCTCCTGCTGCCAACAGCTGAGCTGTCTCCTCCTCAGGTCTCTGTTGTTCACAACGACTTAGTGGCTTCCTGTGAGGCGGAACCAGCCTTATTAGACAATTTCTCTTTTTCATCCTGCAGGGAGATTTGAAGAGTTAAAAACCATTTTTCAAAATGTGTTTTGACATTTAATTATACACATCCTCCTCTTTAGTTATAACATCCCTTGTCATGTCTGCAACAAACAGGGGTTTTGATGTCCTAAAGTGTAGCTCCTACCCCTTCATGATGATCACTTTCCTGCCGCTAACAATTAGTCATCTGAACATTGAAGTCCAAACACCCAGGTAACTTAATTATTTCTCCTTCTCCTTCCTTTGACCAAGAAGAATCCACAAGTGACACATTGGTTTATCTAGGATTTTTTAAAATGTGACTTTAGACTGTACACTGGAACCAATGACCCTTCTCTCAGACTGCATTCAATTAACATGCAAATGAGTTAGACCTTCTGGGCCAGCATTCAAGTTCAGAATCAAAGGAGTGAGGGAGGGGCTGGGGGAGGAGGAATTAGCCACTGCTTAGAGGAGTAGTTCAGACAGAGTCCAGGGTTTGCAATCAGATTAACCAGGATTTGAATCCTGGGTCTACCATTCACTTGCTTTGTTACCAAGGTCATGAGATTTATCCCATTTGAGCCTCTGTTTCACCAACCTTAAAATGAGGATAATAATTTTCTGCCCTTCTCTGATCTTACAGGTTGTTACAACATTTGCCACATGGCTATGTGCTCTCCATGGGAAAGCAGGAAGTAAAGTCTCTGTCTTGTTCTTTCAGGGGTCATTATTTTCTTCTGTACAGATGTTGCAAATTCAAAGGCCTATATGTGCCAGGTAGACAATGCAAATGAGTCAAGGGGGCCAGTGTAGCATGAGGAACAATAGGGAGTGGTGGGGACTGTGGCAAACTAGAGAATGCAATCCCTATAGGGACAAAAGATGGCAGCAACTACCCAGCTACAATGAGGCAGACCTGGGTTGTCACAACTTCTGATTTTTTAAGACAAGCCTGAAATCTGGATATTCTGTTGCATCTCCCAACACTGTGCCTAAACAACATATGTCCGTAGGCTCCATTTAGCTGGTGAGCATCCAGTGTGCACCTGTGTCTAGCATGTTTGGGGAGGAGAGGTTTGGCTCACTTTGCTTGGACAGTTTGCTTGGAATTAGTGTACCTTGCAGCCAGCCTCCTTCCGCACCTGCTTCAATTTTCCCTTTAGTTCCAGAGACCCCCCAATTCCTGTCTTCCCCAACCACCAAGAGAAAAGCAAAACATCTTGTCACTTTCTTATGCATAGCAACTTTGCTCTCACTGGCTACTTCAAAGCAAGCTCAGGAATCTGTGTGTGTCTATCTCAGAAGGTCTATCAGCAAGCTGTCCTGAACAAAAGAGCTGTGTTCTGAGATGGGATCACAGGTCGGAGAAGGAGGAGGGCCTGGACACCTCTGGAGGGCAGCCTTAGGACTAACCAGGATTTTGCTTCCAGTTCTACCACTAAGGAATTGTGTGGAATCGTCACTGGAGATGTTTGTGTCTTAGCATTTCCATTTCCATGAGCAGAATAATAACACGCACTTCCCTCCCTTGCAGACACTTGAGGAGAGTAAAATGATGAAATCCAACAATAATTCAACAACACCTTCTGAGTGCCTTCTCTAGACCAGGCCCTGTGCAAGAAGCTGGAGATACTCAGATGAATGAAGCCATCCTGTTTTCAAGGAATTCATAGTCACACAAGTTAACAACCATTTGCTATAAAATAAGGTGATAGAACCATGGGAATAACACACCAGGACAGTGGGAAAGAGGAGGAAGGAGCCTCAAGCCATCTTGCGGTAAAGAGGTCAGGACGTGTTACACAAAGAAAAGAACTTTTATTGGTCAGGGGAGAGAAAATTGTAAATGTATTCTGATGCTGTAGAAAGATATTAGAATTTCATTTGGTTTGTTTACTCTTCATTAATTTATTAATTCATTCAACACATTTACTGTGTTCCTGTGCTGGGAACGTAAATCTGTCTTGCTTTAATCATGATTGCTAGATCACTCTGTCGACTCTACACGATAAGCTGGTATCTGTATTTTCAGCCCCTAGTCGGGGCCACTGAGTATTTGTTGAAAGTGAGCAGACGAACATACATTTGATAGAGCCCAAAATGTTAGAAGTGATTTCTAAAAGTCTTTGCAAAGATACATCTTTTGTGTTTCTACTAATTTGGGTCTACTGCTGTCAAATGCACTGCGTGTGGGAAGAACAAGGGATGTTCAGAACACTCGAGTTCCCAGGCCTTTAAGAAGAAGGCTTTTCCTCTGCAGCCAGTTTGCTATCTAGTTAATCAACTTCTGCCTGGGGAGGACTCAGGAGACACAGGGCGGCACGCAGGAGTGGGAGGCAGTATCGGCAGCCTTTTCTCCCCGGCTCCCTTTAAACGATCTTGCTTCCATGGTGGAAGGGATGTCAGTGTTTCTTTTGGCCCAGGGCCTCAGTATTGTGCATTAATTCTGGGGCCAGGTGGAGCTGCCACGAAAGTGGAGCAGAACTGGCACAGGGTGAGGGGAAAGGAGGGAGGGCGGGGAGGTTGAGGGCTGGGAGGAGAGCTGGGCAAGGTGGGACTAGCAGTGGCTCAATCTGACCTCGTGGACACCTAGAACCTTCTTGGGCAAATGTTCAAGGCATGTTGGGTATAGCAGCATGGCTCTCTTTTGGTCACAAAGCAAGGCCTTCATCCATCTATCTATCCACTCGCCCACTCACTCCTCCCTTTCTCTACTGACCCATCCACTCATCCATTCAGCCAATCTCTATTGGCAGGCTCGCTTCTAGCCACCAGGTGTACAGAGATGAATAGAGAGATACAAGCATATGAACAGGTCGATTAGGATACCATGTACCTAAAGCAATAGAGAGACACTGAGAAAACCCAGAGGAGGAAACAACTAATGCGGTCAGTGGGAATCAGAGACGGCTCCCCTGGGAAAGTGCCACTTGGGGTGGGCCTGGAAGAACAAATCTGAGACTGCCAAGACAGGAAATGCAGGAGACTTATACCAGGAGGTGTAAGGAGCCTCTTTACATGGAAAGCATGGAGGCAAAAAGGGTCTAGAATATTCTGGGAAGTGGGAGAATTGGAGTGTGCATGGAATGCAAGCTTGTGAAGTTGACACCACATTTCACAGAGTTGGTTCTTTTTAATTTGCTGCGTTTTCAAGAGCTGACCTTAGATGGTACATGCCTTGAAGACATCTAAATACAATTTAATGTCAAAGGAGACTAGGTTAACGCTCCAGCTCTGTGCTCTCATACGTATGCCTCCTGTGTGTCCCCGTTTGAAACGCTGATTGCACATTATTCTTCCATTCATTCATTTTAAAAAACAAATGTTTATTGAGCAAGTACTCTGAGCCAACAAAGGCACAGAGAGATTAGTTTTTCTGCGTTCACTCAGCTTCGTTCATCACAGTAAGGAAGCCTCTCCTCGCGGGTCACTTCTGCCCTTGTGTATCAGTGAACAAAGCAGATGAAGACTCTTGGGCTTAGGGAGTTTGCAACATGGCATAATTTCTCACAATTGCCTGTTAAAGATGGCTGTGCCTTCCCGACACGAAGTGCAGCGAAGCCTGGGGTTATGTCTCTCTTATTCCATGACCAGTCTCACTACAGCACCTGGCACACAGTAGGACCATGATTTCTTCTTCCTTTCCAGTTGGCCTTCGTGATCATGGTTTTCAATGATAGGGGCAAGCTGTTTCACGTAGGCTAGTCTGGTGCCATTTTAGAGAGATCTTAACGCACTTCCACAGTCACATGCTAGACACAGTTAAAAATGTGTCTCGGAAACAAAGAGACAAACAAAAACTGTGTCCTGCCAGGCTTTGTGCCTGCCACGGTTACATGGGCAGAAGGGACCCATGAAGAGACACTTCCTTCATAGTGTTTATAACCAAGGTGTAGCGAGGCTCCGAGTTGAAGGAATTCAAGTTCCCTGCACAGCTAGTATTTACGGTCCTCCCTTCCCCCGTCTGTGGAGAAATTCACGTTGGATAATGCTTGGTGTGAGTGGAGGGAGCACGGGCTCCAGGGTTTGAGTTCTCTTCTGTTACTAAACATGATGAATGCAGCTGGGTGAAGCTGGAAAAATTAATCTCTTTGCCTTTGCTTCCCCAGCTATAAAATTATGGGGGTGGGGGAGTGCGTCAATGCTTAACTTGAAGTGCAGATGGGAGAATTAAGTGAAATAATATCTGGAAAGCGCCTGGCCCCGGCACCTAGCCCAGTGGCAGCCTATAAAAGATTCAGAAAATGAGAATTATCAATACCATGGCTCAAACCTCCTGAGGAGTTGTGTTAGGTTGTTTGGGCTTTGTAGAAAGAATCTGAGACTTAGAACAAGGGGCATGAGTTCTAATCCTGGCTCTGTCACTTGTGAGCTGTGTGATAACACCTTTACTACTCAGCCTCTCTGGGCCTTGACTCTTCATCTGTTAAAAAAAAGAGGTTGGTCCAATCGTTTCTACTCACAAATCTTCCTCAGCTAAGTGTCTCTTCTCAATTTCCACTGCTAATGAATTAATCCAGCCTCTCTTGGGGAACAACCCCTGCTATTGACTAAAAGTTTGTGTCCCCCCTCAAGATTCACATGTATTTGGAGGTGAGGCCTTTGGGAGGTGATTAGATCATGAAGGCAGAGCCCTCATTAATGAGATTAGTACCCTTTAAAAGAGACCCCAGAGAGCTCCCTCGCCCCTCCTTCCACCATGTGAGGACACAGCCAGAGGACGACTGTCTATGAACCAGGAAGTGGGCTCTAGCCAGACGCCAAACCTGCCGGTGACTTGAACTTGGTTGGACTTCCCAGCCTCCAGAATTGTGAGAAATACATTCAGTTGTTTATAAGCCACCCATCTACGGCACTCTGTTTTAGCAGCCCGAATGCAGGAGGACAACTGCCCAGCCTCCACAGCTAGTTCATGTACAAGTGAGAAAATGGCCATCCATCCAGGCAGACACATTAGAAGGAGCTGACTCTCCTCTGAGCAGACCCAGCCCCATGCCAGAACTGCTTGTGAGCCAACTGTGGGATTGCTTTTGAGCCCCATTTTCTCCCTGCCAGGCACTCTGGCACAGTGTACAACCTTCCCTACCATAAGCTGTGGCCGTGCTCTCCTAGCCCTCAGACACAGCTCTTCTGTTTCAGTCCTTTCTCTACCCCATTCCAGGAAATCACTCTCAAACCAAACCTGACCACAACCATGTTCCATCCTTACTGGTCTCTTATGGCTTCAGGGTAAAAACACGCTGCTTTGCCAAACTTCAGTTGTCAAACTCTTCATCTCTCCATGGACCTCTACATGCATCATATGTTAGTGGCTCCCTGAACCTGCAGAGCTTTTCCTTGCTGCCACATCTCTGCATATATGCATCCCCCTGTGCAGAAGGCCCTCTGCAAGTTTCTCCTCTCCACCATTCATCTCAGCTAGTGCCCAGATAGCCATCGAGACTCAGCTCACGTGTCATCTCCAGTGACCTTTCTATGAGACCTCAACCCATGAGACAGACTGGGGCTCCTCCACAGAGCCTAGGCACAAAGCTACCTCTCATAATGAAGGGCCTCATGTTACGGTTGAGAAAACTGAGGCCCACAGAGCTGACTCTTTGCTGACAAGAATGACAATGCCGGCATCAGCAGCCATCCTTTATTGAGAACTAGCTGTGTGTCTGGCACTGACACTACCTTGAGGTGTAGGCATTATCATGTCCAGTTTACAGCTGAAAGGCTGAGATTATGAGTGACATCTCTTATCTACTGCAATGTTTCTCAAAGTGTGGTCCCCAGTCTTGCAGCATCAGCATCAGCTGGAAATTTGGGAGAAATGCAGAGTCCCCAGCTGACCCCAGACCTATTGAATCAGAAATTCCGGTGGTGGACCCAGATATAAGAGTGTGAAAAGCCCTCCAGGTAATTCTGATGCATGCTGAAATTTGATGTATTGAGCACCTACTATACGCAAGGTAGTTTGAGAAGCATTGGCCTAATATTATCCAGCTGGTAATGAGTGGAGCTAGGATTTAGAACCCTATGATTGACAGTTGAAAAAAATTATTAAGCTTGTGCTTTTACCTTCTATGCTGTGACATGCATGGGCTTTGTTCAGGAAGACCTCTCCTGGCCACCATATTTAAAATCACAGTTCCTCCCCTCCTGCCATCCACTGCCAGCATTTCCTGTCTCTGCCTCTTTACTCCATAGTATTTCCCACCAGCTGGCATACTATACACTTCAAACATTTCTTCATTGTTTATCTTTCTCTTAGTCAGTTTGGGCTGCTATAACAACATACCTTAGACTGGGTGGCTTAAACTACAGAAATGAATTTTCTCACAGTCCTGGAGGCTGGAAGCTTGAGACCAGAGTGCCAGCATGGTCCAGTTCTGGTGAGGGCTCTCTTCCTGGCTGGCAGACTGCCACCTTCTTGCTTTGTCTTTATATGGCAGAGAGAGAGAGAGAGCGAGCGAGCGAGAGAGACAGAGAGAGCTCTCTGGTGTCTCTTCCTACAAGGGCACTAATCCCATCACAAGTGCCCCACGTCACGACCTCATCTAACTCTACTCACCTCTCAGAGGCACCAGCTCCAAATACCATCAGGGTCAGGGCTTCAAATACGACTTTTGGGAGGACACATTTAGTCCCTAACAATCTCTCACCACCTGAAGGCAAGCCCTAGGTGGGCAGAGGTTTATCTATGTCATCTGTTAACTGCTGAATCCTCAGTGCCTAGAACACTGCCTTGCACACAGTAGGTGCTCAAAAAATATTTGTGAACTAAGTGGTCACACAGCTGGTTGGTGACAGAGAAAGGAGACTCCTTCGAGTCTGATTACTCACATCCAACAGATTTCCTGTGCTCTCCCTCTCCTTGCTTCTATTTAGCGTTCTCCTGATTAGCAGCTGTCTCCTTCCCAGAAGGGTCATTTTCCAGAAACATTCCTTTAACAATCATCACGTGCAGGAAGAGAGCCTTTCCAACCAGCCCTGCAGGGCGGTTACTCGAGGCAGGATTTAGCTAATTTACTCAGTGCTTTGTCTTAATGGTTCACCAAGTGGAGATTCTTTCAGTAATGACAGTAAATGTATTTGAAATGTAGATATCGACCCTGGCAAAGCTGCGTATTCAGCTCATCAAATTTTCATGTTAAAATTAAAATCCTTCTCTTTTTGTTTTTGTGGGAAGGGAGAAGCCTAAGTGTTGATTTTGATTTGATCACTGTGAAATATTTTTTTTCCAAACGAAAGGAAAATGGTTTAATGACACATCCCGCCCATGGCTACTGCCACATAATGGGAGATGATAACCAGAGAGAGGGAAAGAAAGAAAATTTGTTTAGGACCTACCAAGTTCTATTCACAGTGCTTAATTATATGCAGAAAATATGCATGGGATACTTTGCACCACCACCCTTGGGCAACAGAAATGTCATCATCATCCCTTTATTTCTCTCAAATAAAATCTTTCCACAGCTCCTAGCTGTCTCAGTCCTTCTCAGAGGTCTTCCAATGCCTGCCACACTGTGGCTTTACCGAGCGCCACTCATGTCCCTGGTTCTTCTCTATTATCACTCTGGTTACCTCCTCCTAAGATTTATCATAAGCCATAACTATTGCGTTCATTCATTTTTTTTTTTTAAAGTTTATTTTCCATTGATTTGTTGTCTACTCTTAGGAAAGCCAAGACTTACAGAAACATCGCCAGCCTCTCTTTCCTGGGGTGGGAAAGAGGAATGATAACATCAATTTATTTCTCATTCGTTTACTTTGCTACACATACTAGCTTGACTGAGTGCTGGCAACAACCTGTGAGGTAGGAAATAGCGTTGCTACCTTGTAAATGAGGCCATTGAGGCCAGAGCAGTTAAAGGATTTGACCTGTGCAAAACAGGCTGTGAGTGAGGGGACTTCAGTTAACAACCAGGTCTGCTCAACTCCAAAGCACAGACCAGCAGCAAAGCCTGCAGCCCCCAAAGCCAGCAGGCTGGGTTCAAATTCTGGCTCTGGCACCTACCAGCTCTGTGACCCTGGGTGATTTATGTAAGCTCTCCATGTTTGTGTTTTAGTTTTCTCATCTGTGAAATGGCAATTATAAAAACACCTACTTCACTGGGAGGTAAAGATTGAACAATTAAAAATATAATGAACTTTGAATAATTTCTGGCACGTGGTAGTCACTCAATACACTTTAGCTAGTGTTTCAACTTCACCATGCTGGTAATTCATAATTTCTTGCATTTGAAAAGGTTTTTACAACAGTCTAAATTGAGATGGGTACTCCTCTTGCACCTTCCCCCATCTTTCAGATGAGGAGACTGAAGACCAGAGATTTCCAGCCATTTGCTTAAGGTCGCAGAGCTAAGAAGCTGGCAGAGTTAGGACTAGGTCTCAGGGCTCCTGGCTCCTCCTCCCGTGGTTTGCATTTTCAGGCTAGAATTTACATAGGCTCTACGATTCCAGGTTGCATTTGTAGCCTTAAGGTGCCAAGGCTTTTCCAGTTCCTTAAAGGAACTGGCAAATCATACGAAATGTAGTGAGCCATTCCTCTGCCAGAACAATGTGGTTGAAACCAAACCTTCAAAAGAGGGGCTGATGAGCCAGTCAGAGTAGAGATCTGGGCATCCTGTAAACTTTCTCTGATGAGCAAGTGAGGGTCCTTCTGGTCCTGCTGGCATCTTCCCATCGCAAACCTCCTTTTATCCTTCATGGCAGGACCACGGCAGGCGGGCAGCAAGAGTGGTGTCCTGGGAAAAATTCTGCCAGAATCTTTCTCTTCTAATACATCCAAAATAATCTCCCCAAATGGACTGTCACTTCCACCATTCCAGACACTTCTTTGGGATAAAGTGCTGCCCCTCAATGATCTTGTCCACAGAGCAGGAGGAAATTTTCAGACTCACTTCTGAAATCCATCCCCTTGCCCCTGGCTTTCCTCCAATCTACCCACCAAACAAACCTACAAAGCAAAGGGAAGGAGCCTCAAAGTTTTAGCTTGGGCAGCTTCTATCTTCCCAGGGATGGGTAATGTGTTTTGCATATATGATATCATTTAACCCTATATCCACACTGCAATATAAGTACTATTGTTTCTTTCTGATGCTTAAGGAAACAGGCTCAGAAAGCTTAAAGAAATTGCCAGAGCTTGTCTAACTAAGATTCAAACCCAGGCATGCCCAGCTCTGAAGTCTCTGCTGCTTCCATGACACCAAAGTTACAAGAGCATTAGCTCAGCAGGTTGGCTTTCTGTGTGACCACACAGCCTTTTCTGCTTTATCGGGCCACTAAGGATGGTACAGTTGGAATCCCCCTTTTGAAAACTTGAGTCTGTTTTCAAGGAGAGTGGGAGTCATTCTGACGTTCTGGAAGTCTGCTTTCCTGAAGTCAAGAATGCATGAGGGCTCAAGCTGGAAGTCTTGACCTAGTTTGACTCCAATATGGCGCAGTTTGTTTCTACCAAAACTCATGTCGCGTGTGTGTCACCATCAATGATTCAGTACCATTCAGCCCTGAAGAGGGTCCGGTTGAGCAATTCTTATGGTATAAAGAGTATACCACATACTTTTAAGTATAAAATAGTCAGGAAAAAAGTGTGGCAGTGGTCGTCCCAATATCCAAGAGACTTCCGGGGGCTATGCTATGGCTCGACCCTGCGTCAGTTCTGGGTTCTGCGTTAGGGTTTCCTGTAGCTGAGCATGCTGTACGAGTAGCAGCACATTCCCACAACAATATCACTTCTGTTTCTTTGCTTTTATCCACAACCCAACTGCTCTGCCTCACACTTCCACCACACTATGTAGATGTCCAGCTTCTTAACACTCTGAGGCCCTTAATCCCTCCTCTCAAGAGAGTTTTCTCTTTCTTTCTTCTTCTTCTTTTTAAACATTAAATCTCTTTCCACTGTCATATTATGGCCATACACCTCAACTCACCAAAGCCTTGAAGAGGCATTTGAGTCCCTGGTGTGCATTCTTGTGTTTCTTTGTATCCTACTTCTACTCACAATCACAAACCATATCTGAAGCCATCCTAAGGTTCTGAAGAGTCTTCACTTGTCTTCCCCATTCTACCCAGGATAAAAGCTCACAGTAATGTAAATCCAGTCTTTAAGGAAGGGGAATTGACACGTACTGAGCATCAACCATGTGCCAGGAACCCACTTTCCCTTATGTTGTCTTAATTCTGCCTCAGAACAACGAAGAGAGGTAGGAATTTTCATACCCATTACATAGAGAACAAAACTGAGGCTCAGAGAAGTTAAATAACAAGGCCAAACGCATACTCTTGAGGGTTAAAGTTAAGATTTTGGTCTTTCTTTGTGCAACCTTGAAGGCTAGATCTTTTTAGTACAAAGTACTGGCTAGCACTCAAGGCCTTCAGACCCTTCTGACTTATTCTGCTTTCTGGAGGAGCCAAGTATTGCAATATGTTGTTCTTTGTCACTTGTGACCAGGCTGAAAATTAGAGCAAGGGATGTCAACTTTATGCGTCAGCAGTCACTCTATAAGGCCATATGAAACACACGTATCTACAAACAAAATTCATTAATATGACTTGTTAAAAGATGTTTTAGAACCTACAATCAAAAAGCCATTTATTAGCAGTCCCATCCACATTCACCAATTAGGTGGCCCTGTCATTTATCTGCCTGAACATCAAGCAGATCTACAACTATTATTTTAATTAATTAATTCAGCCCTTTATCCCCAGGGCAGGCCCTGGGAGACACCTGGCTTATTTTCACAGCCGTCCCTGATGCTCAGCTGTCAAGCCACATCATGGCTGGCACTCTGAGCTTCATGCAAGGCCAAGCACTTAATCTCTTTAACAGAGAACTGTCATCACTTTCTTTCACTCCAGTGCAGCCCCAGTCTATGTTGAGACATAATGTCTCATGCACCTGTCTCTCCTTTCCCATTCTAATAGCCGCCATCTGGGTTCAGACACTTCTCAATTTCTCTGTGAATCATTAGTCCTGCAATTCACTGAGTGCCTGCTCTGAGCCAGGCACCACACTATGGATTTCATATTCCTCTTCTCCCATCCACAAAACAACCATGCAACATAGTATTATCATCCTCATCTTCCCCAAAAGGAAATGGAGTCTTGGAAAAGTGAAGTGACTTCACCAAGATCCCTCAACTAGGAAGTTGCAAAGCAAGGATTTGAACTAGGCTCTTCAAGTGCGGGCTTCAATAATTAAGCTCCTTCCACTCGTCTGCATTGCCTCTAGCCCTGCCTTTCATCTCTAAGACCTGGGAATGAAAGACAGGTGCCAGCCAAGCTATATACCACAGAAAAGGGTCAAAAGACATGGCACAGAGAGGGCCTAGTGGAGAACGAAATGTCAAAAAAACTTTTGAGCAGTCTTCTGTGGATATGCCACAGAAACTTTCTCCGCTGTCTTCTTTGTGGGCTCCTCAGTAAATTGTGCATTGCTCCTGACATTCATGTGCAGTGTATTTATTTGGTTGTGCTGGTGGAGCAGGCATTCAGAGCCAAAAGGAGAAGGAGGACACATTGGGATTTCTTGGTCTTATAACAGTGATTGATTTAAAAACAAATAGTAGATGACACAGAATATTGGGGTGGGGTGGTCCCCAACACTTGAATGAGGGAGGAGGGCATTTCAGGTGAGGAAACAGCTTGTGCAAAAGTCCAGAGCTGTGACAGGGTCCACACTCCCCAGCCACGTGTGTTCCTGGGGTACGATGGTTTTCAGAGGGATCCTGTCTGCATAGAAGATGCTGAGCTTATTTGCTCATTTTCTTGGCTGGCCTTCAATCCCAAGCCATAGCTTTAAAAAGTTCTGACTTTCACATTTTTTTCCTTGCTGTTAAGCATTGAAAAAAAAAGGAAGAAGAAGAAAGAAAGAAAATCCAGCCACTTTACATCCATTGCTTCTTAGCTGCCCCAGGGGTGCCACCTCTAAGCTGAAACCTCCCGTAATTGTTTGGGGCACAGCGGGCCTCCCAACGATACCTTCATTTGATGCCATTACAGTCTGGCTCCAGGTTCTTAAAGCCTGGTACCCGTCCTCTTTGCCTCTTGCTGCCAGAAGGAATTGCTCTTAAAAGCTATCCTTTATGCAACTAAATTGCCTCTCCCTATTGCATCTTACATCCAGGAAAGATGGTGGGACAGTTCCATCTCCCGTTCCCTGGGCTGTGGAAGCCGTTCGAAGCGTCTCTGCCGAGTGTTTCCCAAAGCGTACGCTGTCGAACACTGGGCCCTTGATACGGTCTTCAGAACGTAAGCTTAGTGGTCAAATACTGTTGGGAAACATGGCACACTGTATCCCAGTCTTGGAGATTCCTAATTTGTATTGGCAGATTAAAGGCACGGAGACGTTGGGGCTGGCCCCGTGGCCGAGTGGTTAAGTTCGCGAGCTCCGCTGCAGGCGGCCCAGTGTTTCGTTGGTTCGAATCCTGGGCGCGGACATGGCACTGCTCATCAGACCACGCTGAGGCAGTGTCCCACATGCCACAACTAGAAGAACCCACAACGAAGAATACACAACTATGTACCGGGGGGCTTTGGGGAGAAAAAGGAAAAAATAAAATCTTTAAAAAAAAAAAAAGATTCTTTTAAAAAAAAAAAAAAGGCACGGAGACGTTGTGCAGTCAGAAACCTGTTTAACTCAGTATTTCTTAACCTTCTTTGGTTAGGGAACCCTACTTTTTGCATTCTCCTTACACCCTTTCATAAGTGCTGCTCTGGATAATAACAACCCCTTCCAGGTGCAGTATCCAATAGTTTACATCCCATTAGAGCTGTAAGCGAGGAAGGCCGTATGATTCATATTTTACAGGCGCTGATGTTGAAGGGCAGACGCGTAAGTGACTTGTCCTAGAGAAAGCCGCTGGTAGAAGGCAGATGGAAGTCAGGGTTTCTGATTTGTAGAGTGGAGATCTTGTCCCCAAGCTGCATGGTTTTCTTGCTGAGGCCATTTGCACCCATTTTCCTAGTTGCATCTAGACTACACACACACACAGTAAAATGAGCTTTGTAAATAGTCAAGTTATTATTACTTAGAAAAAACCACAATGGAGTAGGTGGGGAAAACTAAGTAAAGAAATACTTGTTTAGTGCATAGAAGGTGTTAGGAGCTTCACCTACATTACCTCATAAATCTTTGCAGTAACCCTGAGAAGTATTATTATCCCCATTTTACAGAGGAGCAAAGCAAGATTTAGAGAAATTAGGTCACTTTCCCAGGGTCACACAATACTAAGCTGCTCAGCCAAGATTTACACTTTCAAAAAGCATTCTCTGTCCTCTTAGCCCACCACCTTTTTCTTAGCCCACCACCATCCCTATTACCCTAGAGCCCAATAGACAGAGCTAGACTTATCCAGGTGCTTCTGAGGATTGACCCTATTTGCGTTCCAGCAGGTTGTTTAGACAAGATTGGCTCAGTCTGGAGGTTCAAGAAGTATAAGAATATTGAGAATTAGTAACTTTGTGCTCAGAGGAGATCAAAGGGAGTTTATGCTTAAATGGTTTGACAGTGTTTGGTCCCACCCTGGAAAGTGTATGTGGGATTTAATTCCCAAAACCAAAAGGATTGTTAATGTTTTCCTAGGGAGCTGAGTAAAAATAACCAAGATAGGACCTAGAGGTTCCTTAGGCTGAGAAGCTGCTAGTGTGGAAAAGCAGTGGGCAGGAAGAGGGCCACGGTCCCAGTCTGGGCTATGCACCCATAGAGAGTGTGATCTTGGCAAATCTCTTAAACCCACTTGGCCTCAGTTTCTCATATGCAGAATAAAGGGGTGTGAGAAGATGCCCAGAGGTGATAATTCCTATGGAGGAGATGGTCTCTATCTGGAGCCAGAGGGACCAATTATCTAGCCTGGATTATATCCTCTAGCCTAGTCAGTCCTGGAAAGAGAAGCCATTTTAGGCCCACAGGATGGGAGAAGTTTTGGTGACCTCAACCTTCTGAAATGAAAATGAGGTGTCCTCATATCTTGCAGAGAGAACATTGGGAACCACAGAGCAGAAGCCATAAGAAAACTCTAACCCAAGGGCTTTGGGTGCTTCCTCCCACTGGTTGCTTGGTTACCTGGGTCTGAGTCCCGGGCAGGCAACCAGTGGAGGGCTTGTTTGTTGTTTATCTATGGCGGGTGTGGTTGGTGTGGAGGTGCCAGGCCCTGCTGTTTTGGACCCTGCCTCCTCTTCTCCAGCCTGGCTTGGTGAGGAGGGCGCTCAAGGATGGAGTGGGCAGTGGTAGTGCTAAAGAGGGAAGGAAGCAGAATGAGGCCCTGGGGCCTGTGAGAGGGAAAGGAAGGGAGCTGGTTGCCAGCCTAGGCCTGGGAAAGGACCCTGAGCCTGAGCAGTAGAAAGTTCCAGGAGGTTGGTTTAGACAATTTCTCAGCAACCTCCCAGTTCACACATTACGTGTTGATTTCATTTCCCCGCCTTCCTGGAGCAACCCCACACACAAGCATCTCAGATGAGCTCAGACTTGAGTGTGATTCATTGAGGAGCATTGGGGCTGCCAGGCCTCAGACACCAGATTACAATCAGCTCCTTCTCAGGCCCCTGCACACGTGAGGCCTGCTCCAGAAGAAGCTCTTTGTCTCCTGCCCTGGTTTCCATGGGGCAAACACAATGCACAGGTGTGGTTCAGGTCCCACGGAGACTAGCTGAGTGCTGGATTCTGACGTCACTGGGGCCTCCAGGGGACTACTGACATTTGGAGGGACAGAAAGGATCTTAAGAAGCCTCATCTCACCATTTCCTCAACAGATGAAAAGTAGTGGGCCCCCGTTACTATTTGGGAGAGAGATACAAAGGCCGCCACGCCTAGATTCCTAAGTGTGGGTGGAGGGATGTCATCAATACTTCAGTAGCATCAGCTGTCAGGACCCACCCTCAGGCCTCTACTCCACCCCTCCTTGCAAGCCTCATGGTTTACCCACCAGAGAATGCTGGCAAGGTCTTCCAGGATGGGAGCTGGAGGCTGGAAATAACACCAGCAATGTTGTCAAGGTGAGGCTGAAATATGTCATCTCCAGGGGACATCCAGTCTGTGGGTCATAGCAAAGGGTGTGGCTTGGAGGTTCAGGGTGCAGGCTCTGTGAAGGCGGCGATGAGCCTAGCGGACTCCCCGACCCACAGTAGTCCCTTAATAAATAGTTGTTGAATGACTGATTAGTGTAGAGAGGTGGGGAAGTGAGGATTGTTTTTATTGAAGTATAATTGACACACAATATCCTATTAGTTTCAGCTGTACATCACAGAGATTCAGTATTTATATACATTACAAAATGGTCACCATGACAGGTCCAGTTACCACCCGGCACCATACAAAGTAATTACAATATTATTGACTATATTCCCTATGCTGTACATTATATCCCCAAGCCTTATTTATTTTAGAACTGGGAGTCTGTACCTCTGAATCCCCTTTACCTATTCCACCTATGCCCTCCCCCCTCTGGTAACCACCAATGTATTTCCTGTATCTGTGAGTCTAGTTCTGTTTTGTTTCTTCATTTTGTCTTTTTAGATTCCAAATATAAGTGAAATCATATGATAGTTGTCTTTCTCTGAGTCATTTCACTTAGCATACTACCCTCTAGGTCCATCCATGTTGTCACAAACGGCAAGATTTCATTCTTTTTTTTGGCTGAGTAATATTCCATTGAATATATATACCACATCTTCTTTATCCATTCATCTATCAATGGATACTTAGGTTGCTTCCATATCTTGGCTATTGTAAATAATGCTGCAATGAACATATGAGTGCATATATCTCTTCCAATTAGTATTTTCATTTTCTTTGGATAAATATGCAGAAGTGGAATTGCTTGATCATAAGGTAGATCTGTCTTTACTTTTTTGAGGAACCTCCATACTGGTTTCCATAGTGGCTGCACCAATTTACATTTGAAGTGGGGATTATTGAGTGGGTCTTAGAATGTGACTGGAGATTTGGGGAAAGCAGCAGTCTCCGGAATTTGGGTTTGGAGGGGGAAAGGGAGAATTAGGGAAGGAATGAGTACCTGCTCTGTGAGACAGGCATTGTGGTTGGCATGTTGCCCAAGTTACTTAACTTATTTCCTGACTGGGACTTATTCTCCCGCATTATGAGCTGAGGTCTGAGAGGCTAAATGAATTTCCCAGAGATAAATCATTTGTAGGTGTCAAACGTGGGATTCAAACCTGGGTCTCCTGATTTGTCTGTCTTCACATAGTTAGGCCGTTACTATCCCCATTTTATAGAGAAGAAGGCTGAATCTCCAAAAAGCAAACTCACAGCTAATAGGAGCAGAGCAGGGACTAGAACTCAGAACTCTGGCCTCACAGCTTCAGCCCTTCCAATCCCTTCGTGGCCTGCCTGTTGTTCTCCCATGACATAGGGGTCTCCTTCACTCCAGGTGGCACTGAGTATATTCAGCAGCTCGTCCTGTCCCCAGGGGGCTGGGACTCCCTGCATTCTGCATTGTCATCTTCTCCCTCATCTGCTCTTTGAGAGCCAGGGAATCTCTTGCAGCCCCTTGGGGACAGCAGACATCTGGCTCACAGCTGGCCTGAGTACGGCTCATGCAACCCTATGGCGGAGAATGTGGGCTTCATGCGTGTTTATTTTTCTTTTCTCTGCTGATAATAAAATTGGATAATGAGCCTGATGAATGAAGCTCCGCCAGCAACTGGGCATGAGTCCTGGTTCTACCACTTGCTTGAGGTGCCAAGCTGTGCCATTGGAGTGCCCTCTCTGGATCCTGACGTTCCCATATGTAACATTGAGGTTGCACAAAATGACACCCAAGATCTCCCAGTGTTGACCTTCTAGAAATCTATTTAAAACAGGTCAGCACACTATACCAGAAGAGTCAAATACTCTTCCCCATATAGCAAACTCTAAAATTAAACATGCATAAAATATTTTGATATTTAAATCAAACCTTGGCATTTTCCATTCCCTTTATTTTTTATCCTTCTATGAATTTTTAAAAAGCAGTCTTCGTTTTATGAGAAAAGTATATTTTCCCACAACAAATGCACAGAATTTTAAACTCTTTTTGTCGTTTTCATGCACGTATCTTTTTTCCTAAAACCTAGTCAAAAACAGCAAAAAATGGGGTGGTGACAGTGGTCTAAATATAAAAACTTCCTGGGGTCCCTGTTTATCTGCATTTATGATGGTTAATTTTATGTGTTAACTTGGTTAGGCTGTAGTACCCAGTTGAGGGTCAAACACTAGGATAGATGTTGCTGTGAAGACATTTTTTGATATGATTAACACTTACAATCAGTTGACTTTAAGTAAAGCAGTGTAACCTCTATAATGTGGGTGGGCCTCATCCAATGAGTTGAAGGTCTTCAGAGTAAATACTGAAGTTTTCTAGAGAAGAAGGAATTCTGCCTCAAGATTCAACATAGAAATTTGACCTATTGATTCTGTTTTTCTGGAGAGTACTGACTGATACACATCTGCTAGATTCAAAGATTTTTTTCACCAGAAATGTCATGAAATCCATTGTTCTTAGACTCTCGAGGAACGCTGTCTTCCCTCTCTGGCTATGCTATGTCAATGGTCATGAGTTTGGGACTCAAGTGACCTGAATGTCAATCTAGCCCTACTGATTACTAGTGTGGGCCTGATGCAGGCAGCACTCCCTCTGGGCCTCAGTTCCCTCATCTATCAAGCAGGAGGTGGGGCGTGGGACGTGTGTCGATACTAGCTTGCTCAGGGGTGGTGGGAAGGTCACATGAGATGATCGCCAAATCACCTGACACATAACATGAACTCGATAAAGAATAAACACTACCAATATGATGAGTATGACTCCTCCTTCTCATTTTCTACTCCTCCTCCTTCCATCATCCTTATTAATTGGACTGAAACAACATTTATGGAGCACCAACTGGCTACCAGGCCTTAGGCTGAGAAGCTGTGTTGGGAGATGAAAGTCAATGCACTTCCCCTTCAGGACTTCAGAGTTAACTGAGAGGAGAAAGTTGCATGTGCTTCCCGAGCCACAAGACAAGATGATATAAATCAAAACTCTCCCAAGCTTTCAAGGCTCAACCGACATCCTACCTCCTTCACGAAAACTTTCCAGATCCCCTATTAGAAATTAATCTCCCAGCTCCCACATCCCCAGGGCCTTTGGCTTGTACCTTTCCTGCAGTTCTTACCACTATTTACCTTGTATTAGAGTGATTTATGCATATGTCAGCCTCTCCCACTAGAATGCAAGTTCCTGAGGACAGAAATATTTATGAAGGGCCTTTCGATGACTTTGGCTATTGTATGAAGGACCAACATAACAACTTCAATGATCTGCCTGACATTTTAAGATGATTTTATGGCAAAATAATTAAAATTGAATATAATTTAAAAAATTATTTTCACATTTTCATTATCACAGCCATCATCTCTTTGTTGTGTCCACCTATAGATGCCGTATAGGAGGCAGACAGCTTGCCATGACCTGTGCAAGGTCATGGAACTAGTTAACAGCAAGGCTAAGCCCAGAACCTGGCCCCTTTGTGCTCAGCAGTCTAAGGCTGGCAATCAACTGATAGGCTGTGTTGCGTATTCCTACTGCCATTAAATCACTGTGACTGAGTCATTCTACATTCCTCTGTGCTCAAGCAATTTGGCTTCCTTGTCATGAGTGTGGTTTAGTAAGTTCTCTCCCTGTTTAGACATAAAACAAAGCCAGATGAAACAAATTGCATCTTTTAACTGCCTTTCCAGACTGGTTTTGACTCCTGCTCTGATGATTTTCAGGTTGGCAAAGGCTGGTCTCTAGAAATTTCCCCAAGAAAACCATGTGGCTTTGAAGTGATTAGAGTTAGGCGTGATTACACACTCTTTCCACTCTTCCTCCCTTGGAATTCTCAAGGCCTATGACAACACTGAGAGATAGGCGCAATTATCTGCTATTGACAGATGAGCACCTTGAGGCTTGGAGAGATGGAGTGAGTTTTATGCCCAAGGCCACCCACAGCCAAGGTTCAAACCCATGTCTGTTCTGATGATAAAGACTTTCCATTATACCCACAATGGATTCCTTCTCTAATTGGGAGGGACTGGGAAAGCAGGGGCTGACTCTCCTATCTCTAGCTGGCCAATTTTTTTATAAGAAAGATGCTAAGTACAGAAGTGATTTTCTGGGAGAATTAGTCAAAATAATTAGATAAAGACCATGACCCAAAGAATCACTTTTGAGACTGGTACATACTGATATAAGGTTGAATACAATTTTTTTTCTCTCTCAGTTTGGGATTTGATCACATTAATTGGCAAACTCTCCATGGGGACTTTCTACTGTAACATTCCTTCCTGCAGCCGTGCCTGACTAATGGGAGGACTGACTAAACCCTGCATCCTCCTACTCCCATGCCTCAACTTCTGCTGAGTTTTCCACTTGGAATGTCCTTTCTCCACACCTACAACTAGGCTCCAGTCCCCTCTTCGAGATCCAACTGCACGGGGCATATGGACTGGCTGAACTGATTGATGCAAATTTATTCTTTGGCAAGACCAGCTTTCATGCAATGAACAGTAGGGAAAGAGTCAAAAGCAAAAGATAACTATTAATGGGATGCCAGGTAGGAAAGTTGGTGAGGACCAGGTTTGGTTAAGAAATTTGAACTCCTTTGTTGGGCAGTGGGGAGCCATGGAGGCTTTTGAGCAGAGAGGTGGGCCACATGATATGACTTATGTTTTGAGAAGGTAAATCTGGTAGGAGAAAGTAAAAGTGTAAAGACTGCTTAGTAGACTCTTAGAATAGTCTAATTACAGGGTGATGAGGGCCTGAGCCAGGGAAGTGGCTGTGGACCTGAGAGGAAGGACAGATGGGAGGTATTTTGGAATGGGATAAACTGGAGTTATTTTTTCTGTGGAATCTCAATGAAATGTGGCACAGCACAGAAGAAAGGATATGGGCTTTAGAACGAGCCAGTCTGGGTTTTGAATCTCAGCTCAGCCACCTGCAGGCGTGAGACCTTGGGCAAGTCATGTAAACTCACCGAGATTCAGTTTCTTCATCTGTCAAATGTTAATATTACTAACCACTCATAGCCTTTTGTGAGAATCAACGGAAACAATAAACACGCAAACCTAGTCACATTGTGGGTGATCAGTTAGTGATCATCATCTGGGATTGAGAGGGGACATCTTGCATCCTGGCTAAGACCTGTGCTAGAAGCATTGCACTTCTGCCCCTTGCCAGCTCTTTGACCTTGGGCAAATAATAGAACCTGGGTGAATCTTGGTAAAATGGGGATAATGATGGCTGTCTCACAAATCTGTTGTAGTGAACATTAAATTAAATGAAAAAATGTATGTGAAGTGATTAGGCTGTGATGGGCACACAGGTAAAGAGAAGTTGACTTTATCAGCATTATTAGTGCCCAATGGACACTGCTGGTTGGCTGGACCATCTTCTATTCCCACTCCCTTCTCTCTTTTCCTTTCATACGATAGAATCTACAAAAGCCAAATACTCTCTTTCCCAGCCTCCTTTGCAGCTAGGAGTGGCCATGTACCAGAGTTCTGGCCAATAAGATAGC